TTTTCGTGCAGATTTATTTGAAGATGAGGCGCAGATTTATTTCCGATTGACCTTATTTGGTGAAGATAATGTCGGTGGAGAAAAAAAAAATTTACACAGTAAAAAACCTTATCAGCTTGATCTTGAAGCGACGACCCTAAACCCTAACGACAACACCAAACGAACAACCGGAGAAGATGATTGAAGGTTTTTCTCTTCCTAATATTCTCAACGGACCCTTGCAAAATCAATTTCCGACCATTGAATTGGTTTATCACCCTTGTCGGAAGCAATCTCCTCAGTCGCTTCTCTCTGTTTTTTTCGCACACCCAGAAAAACAGAGAAGAAGAAGACGAGCAGTTTTTCTTTTCCTTCTTTTTTTTCTGTCAATTTGTTTTAATTTTGTTGTAAAAAAAATATTTAATGGCATAACTGTAATTACAGTTTACTATCATGGTTTATATGACTTTTACTCTGATTTTTTTTACTTAACTAGAACTAAGAGTTAGTTTAGTAATAAATGGTTAAATGTAGGTTAGTGTACGTAATTTTCCTAATGGATGTTCTTTCTTTGAGAAACTGGAATTTTGTTAGAATTCCGTTTGACATGAGAAAATTTTGTTCTTTCAAACTTAGTTCCCCATAATTTTTTTTAATTAGATTGTCTACTGAAATATATTCCAATAACCTTTATAGTAGTAATCTTACTAAAACCTAGCAATTTTCTTCAAAACAAATTAATTTGTAATCCATACACGTAATGTTTTGAATAGCCATCAACAAGGCTTTTTTCTTCCAAATTTGATGTAGCTTTTCTAGTTCTTCAACGGGGTTTTATCATTCTTATGCCTCCATTTCTTTCTCTTAATTTTCGTTATATATTGCCATTTGAGACAATCTTCTTCCTTTTTTTCCTCCATTTTATTTAGTCCATAGACTAAAAAAACAGTTGATACAACACACAAACCCAACACGCAAGATGATAAACACCAAAAAAAGACATTGAGATGATTTATTTTCTAATTATCAATTTTGTACTTTTTTTTAGTTATTGAACTTTTATTATTTTATTTTTGGTAAAACTCTTTTTATTATTCTCCATGTAAACACTTTCACTTTCATTTTTATTTGATCAGTCGAAATGGTGCCACGTTTTAGATCCATTAAAAATATGGTAAGTATGCTAGTCTCATCCTGGGAGATTAATCAGTTGGTAAAAACCTGGATCATCCAAGTTTTATAAAAAAAAAAAAAAACTATTTACTTTTTACCATAACCGAAAAAAAACACTATTTTATTTAAAAAGACGCACCAACTTTAACCTGTGGAAGTGCATGAAACGATAATAAAACACTAGTTGAGTACATGTGCATCAAAGTTGATATGGCCGAGTTGGTCTAAGGCGCCAGATTAAGGTTCTGGTCCGAAAGGGCGTGGGTTCAAATCCCACTGTCAACATTTCTTTTTAATTTTCTCCCACTTAACGAAACACTGAAGTAAATCTTAAACCGTCCAATCGTATTACTTTTTGTAATTAATCAACGATCCTGCTCGCTCCACGTATTAAATCTAAAGACTTTAAAAAGACTTGGGCTCATATTAATTCAATATACATACAATTTAAGAATCTAATTCTCACCAAAAACCCCCCATAATTTCCAAAATCAACTTTATACCCACCACACGAAGAATCTCTTAAAATCAAGCATCTTCTTCTTCGTTGAAACTCTTTGTCGACGATAATGGCGTCGAAGCAAGAGTATAGCTATCCTTATACACCTCTTCCATCTTCACAACCTTCACAAACCGTAATCGTTCTAACACCTTATCGCCGTCACCGCCGTCCTTCCTTCCTCCGTCACCTCCGCTGCACTCTCCTTTTCACCGCCGTAATCCTTCTCCTCTCCGCCGCCGTTTACTTCCTCTACCCATCCGATCCAGACATCAGTGTCTCTCGAATCCAGCTTAATCACATACGAGTCCTCGATTTGCTTAAACCTGCTCTTGATCTATCCTTTTCCCTAACAATCAAAGTCCGTAATCGCGATTTCTTCTCTCTTGACTATGATTCGCTCGTTGTCTCGATTGGGTATAGAGGTAGAGAGCTAGGGCTTGTGAATTCTCGAGGTGGGCATCTTCGTGCTCGTGATAGCTCTTACATTAATGCGACTCTTGACCTTGATGGTCTTGAGGTTGTTCACGATGTGATTTACTTGATCGGTGATTTGGCTAAAGGTGTTATTCCTTTTGATACAATCGCTGAGGTTAAAGGTGATCTTGGTGTTCTTCTCTTCCAAATCCCAATTCAGGTCAAACCCTAAATTTTCCTTTTGCCCTTTGAACATTTAGGGTTTTTTGTAAAGAGAAATTTTGAGACTTTGATTCATAGTTTCTAATAAGTTTTGGCCTTTGAGCAGATATTGACTTTGCATTATGATCATTCATGAAGCCTTTATAGCACAAATTTTCTCTTTTAGATCCAAGTTTATAGACAGAGATTGTAGTTGGGTTCCACTCTGTTTGAGCTTAGCCTTGTCAGATAAAGGACTGATCTTTTTCATAAACTAGATTGGTAGGGGATTTGTGTGTCATTGTTGTAGAACTATTTACTGATTTGTTTAGGGTGGTTCTTGGTGCTCTCTTCAGTGAATGTCAAATGAAATTTGGATCATTAGCCCTAATGTTTCACTGTTTTTTGTTTGGAAAATGGAGAAAGATAGAGGATAAAGGTTATTGTTTATTGGCTGATGACTATCATTTGATTAAAATTACGGCCACTGTTTTCTGTCAGAACCTATACTTAGTTGAAAGTAGCATTGGCAATGAGTCTCTAATTTTGTTTCGATTTGAATTTTTAAAAAGCTTATTTTGATATATGTATGATATGATCATTACTGATGTTTCAATACATGGGTAATATTGTGGTTTTGCAGGGTAAAGTGTCGTGCGAGGTGTTTGTTAATGTTAGCAGCCAGAAAATCTCACACCAAGATTGTCATCGTAAGGTAATCTGGTTTCTTTTTGTTCCTTTGATCCAACAATGTATTTTGGTTACAGTGTGATTATAGTGTCTGTAAGCCATACTCAGATTTGCGAATAGGATCAAATTATCGAAAACATAGCTTAATGGTTGAGGTAGAAGTAGAGCATGCTGCCAATAAAGTGTAAATTGGCCAAATGAAAGATGAGGCGATTCTGAAAACTGATTAAAGTAGAGCATTTGAGCATAGGCCAAATGTTTAGAAGTTGATTAAAGTCATAATAATGAGGCGATTCTGGAAGCTGATCAAACGTTTTCGCATTGGGATTTAAATGTGCAGTGAAAGAAAAAAAAACCCTTAGCTGTTCCAGAGACGAGGGAAGAAGAGACGTGAGATAACATATATGCTGATATGTTTTGGTTTCTGGAGAAATGATTTGTAAGATTTTGTATAGATAAATGCTACTACTCTGAGTGGATTGTCATTGCATAGTCATGTGATTTACACTTTTACTTTTAACCGGCTTTAGGGGTTTGGAGACAAATTACTGTTATAGAGTTTTAGTAGTGATATAGGTCAAAGATGCTATTTGCAAGACTGATTCAGTGATGTGCAATCTTGTTATGCAAGGGAAATGTTATCTTCCTTAATAAATAGGTTTTTTAAACATCTTACTCTATAACTTTGAATATCAACTTTACATTGTTATGTTATACTCATCATGCAGATATTTCAAAATACAGAAAAATACATAAGCATTACTCTCTTTTTTAAGTCGAATTACATTTTCCTTTTCAACAAAAAAACTCCAAATGTTATATAGATTTGGTCGGAACAGGTTTGCCTATATATGATCCAATACATCACCGAATTGCTTACAAAGAAAAACAATGCTTTCGTGCTCTTGCCTTTTTCGCTAGACAGTCGTTCACCTTCTTCAAGAGTCCATGTCTCCGTTACATGATGTGATAAACATAGAAGAAGAAGACCACCAACTTCTCTTTAGAGGACCGTGGCTTTCGTGTTCGAGCTACACGTATGTGATACACGAGACAACTCTTGTATAAATTATATGTAATCAAACCAGGATTACATTGCAACCGGAAATGCAAGACAAATAAGACCAACTAAGCCATATTCAAGCCACAAGTCACTAGTTTTAGTGTGTTCTTAACCTCGTATTGTGTTTTGCTTTTGCTTTGTTTCTCTTTTCTAGGCACAAAAACATTATCAGAAGACATACCTCCAATCCTGAGATCAATTTATATAAAGGCAAGACCAGTTTTCAGATAATCCACGCAAGAGAAAGGCAGACGCAGAATTTGGTCAACTTCTAAGGAAGTCTTCATGAGATGGCTTATGGTTTTGTCCCTATGTCCTCTCTCTGACCCCAACCCTCTACTCACCACCAGAGATACGTTACATAGCCATGGAACTGCACAAGCAAACACCAACCCATTCCTCTCATTTTCCATTAAACCCTTTTTATAGGCTTTACCGACTTTCCTCGCATATTTCCCTGTTGTTACGTCTTCGTTTGATCTGTCTGTGTCTGCGATGTCTGCATCAGAGTGAAGGTTCACCACCAGAGTCCCATGCTCATGGTGAAGTGTTTCGCTCAGAGCTTTCATGAACATGGAATTGGAATCCCAAAGACTATGGGGGAAGATGTCTGCTCCATTATAAGCATCCATGAAGATGATATCATAAATATTATTTCGGTTCCTGAGAATGAATTGCTCAGCGTCTGATTCGTAGAGGAAGAGTCTCTCATGGATGCCTCGCCACATCACTTGGTCGATAATGTCAGGAGTTGGTACTGCTCGTTTCCCGTTTGCTGTCATGACAGAGAATGCAGGGAAGCCCATTGCTCGAACCGACTCTGAGATAACAAGTGGGTCGATCTCAACTATGTCAACAATAGCACCTAGAAGACGGATCAATAAAACCGTTCACATCAATCAACATACGAATTAGAGAAGGAAGTTCTAGAAACTGATATTGGTAGAATGAAAGTTCCTACCAAGAATGTGATGAGCTAAAAACAACGGTAAACTTCCTCCACCATGACCGATGCATAATATGCGCATTTGTTTCTTCCCAATAGCTACACTCCTCATATCATATTTAGAAGCTGCAAGAGAAGTCAATCCAACTGAAGCCATGCTCTTCAGATCTGTCGCCAATAAAGAGTTCAGTTTAAAAACCATTCCTGGAGAAAATGATAGCGCAGAAGCCAACTAAAACAACATTGGAGTCACTATTAGCCTAAACCCTTCTATACTTGGGAGGAAACAGAGGACCAACACCATGAAACCCTTCTTTAATTGGAAACAGAGAACAAGCAGAAAGTTGAACACGATAAACAGCGGTAATAACTAATAACTAAACCACCATTCCCTCATCAGTTTCTATGCAAATTCCTACATGCTAAGTATATAAAGGTGTTGGTTTTTACCAAAAGAGCTCATAAGCTCTAAAAGAGACACAAGACAAGCATATAAAGGAAAGAGGAAAAGGGTTAATAACAAATCACATGGAACAGCAAGGCAATGAGGCTGTTGCATGTAGAAAACAGGACCCGGTTGCAGTTCCCTACAAGCAGCCATGACTTTCACAGTGCTTTGTCGAGTATCATCGTTAAATCGAAGAGATCGCCATTGATATCCAAGTATCTTAAACCTTCCATCTTTCTCTCCTCCATCTCTTGGCATTATTATCTCCATATACCTTTTCTCTAACCATCTCTCAGTTTCTCCCCATGAATCTCTACTCTACATCAAGAGAAATCATTAGAAATCATCCCAATCAAACAATGCACAAACCTCAAAAACTCAAGCTTTATAAGATTTGATTAGCTGATTCAACAGATACTCACAGGAAGTGAAGAAGGGTGTGCGACGACAGAAACGATGCCGTTTCCTTTCTCGGAGGTTGATTGTGAAACCGTGTGGCCATTTTCGTGAGGGTCCCACCATTCCGGCGAGTAAAACCAGTCTCCTTCGTCCTTAACGCCGACGACTCCGCAGAAATGCCGGAGACATGACTCGAAGCTGCTTAACCTTTTCACACGCCGTGTCAACGAGAAAAGTTGAATCGAATTCATCTGTGAAGAAGACCCACGATCTCGAGATCACCGGAGAATCGAAGGGTCTAATAACGGTTTGGACTTTGGAGGCGGCGTTTTTCTGGCTATGGTGGTGGCTTCAGGGTTAGTGAAAGGATTCACTATTCAGGGTTTAAGCGTCGACGGAGA